AAACCCGATTTTCTTCCCAAAACCCCGATTTTCTCCCCCAAAATCCAATTTCCCTCCCAAAACCCCCGATTTTTTTCTCCCAAACCCGATTTTCCCTCCCCAAAACCCCGATTTTCTCCCCAAAACCCCGATTTTCCTCCCCAAAATCCGATTTTCGTCCCAAAATCCCGATTTTTCTCCCCAAAATCCTCATCTACGCGGGCCTCTCTTCTCTCCTCTACCCCTCGCCACCTCTATCACCACAAAACCACAAAAATCTTTAATTTCAGTCGATTTTTTTTTGCCAAAAACCCTTTTTACCTCCCCAAACCCTTCATCCAAGCGCGGCCGAGCATCTCTCTTTTATCCGCCACCGCCTCCACCTCCAAAAAAACCCCACAAAACCCCAAATATCCCGAATCTCACTCAATTTCCGCGGCCGCGCATCTCTCCTTTACCCCCATCGTAAAAAAAAACGCCAGAAAAACGCACAAAAATCTTGAATTTCAGCGGAATTTCCCCCAAACCCCTCAGATTTTCCTCCTCCAATGTCGCATCTCTTAATCCCACCACACCTGGGGGAAAAAAACCACCCCAAAACCGCACAAAAATCTTTATTTCCCTCGATTTCCGCGGCCGCGCATCTCTGCTTTACCCACACCTGCTCCACCTTGAAAAAACACCACAAAATGCACCAAAATCTTGATTTTCACCCCCAAAAATCAGATTTTCCGCCCCAAATCCCTCATCTCTTATTCCCACCGACACCTCAGAACAAAAAAACCGCACAAAAATCTTTATTTTCCGCCGATTTCCGCGGCCGCGCATCCCTTTTATCTTCCCCGACACCTCCGCCTTGACAAAACACCACAAAATGCACCAAAATCTTGAATTTCGGTGGATTTTTCCTGAAAAAACAACCCGAGATTTTCCTCCCCAAATCCCTCATCTCTAAATTCCACCACAACCTCGGGAAAAAAACACCACAAAATGCACAAAAATCTTTATTTTCCCCCAATTTCGGCGGCCGCGCATCTCTCCTTTACCCCCACCTGCTCCACTTCGAAAAAACACCACAAAATGAACAAAAATCTTGAATTTTACCCCCAAAAATCAGATTTTCCTCCCCAAATCCTTCACTTCTTGATCCCACCAACACCTCAGATAAAAAACCGCACAAAAATCTGGAATTTCAGCGGATTTCAGCCCCAAAAATCAGATTTTTC